AAATCAAATAAATAATTCAATATTAAGTATATAGAGTTGAAAAAACAGAGCATGCAATGGTTCATAATAAACAAAAAATCAATCAAACGATAGATTGTAAATTTTTGGAATTTACAACTATGTAATAGTATTGACAATGAGTTTTTCAACCCTTCCATTTCTCCCTGTATGGTACGAGGTTAAACCTGATTGTTTTACGTTTATGCCCGAATTCAAATGAACTTTTAAGCTACACTTATCGATTAATCGCAATTAAGTTATTTTATTTAACAATTCTCCTACTTATTGCCTCTTTCTTGTGCCTGGAAAGCTTCGGCAAATCTGTAGCATCTGCTGCTTTATAAAAGGGCCAATCAAAATTAGGTAATGCTGATCAATGATGATAAAATACACAAAAATTTTTTAAAAAAATAACAAAAAAAAATTTTAAAATGAAATATTATGGGCAATGCCCCGAAGAAACTTTATAGTTGATCTAATGTTATGGTCATTTAATACTGTTTGAATCCATATTTCACGATTACGATCTTGTGGTTTCTGTGGGGGTCGTGGTGTTTCTCGCAAGACCATTTCTACGTCAAGTTCGACTTTACTTAGATTGTCGGCAAAGTGTCCTGTCGGTAAATTGACCTGTCGGTAAAGTGTCTTGTCGGTAAAGTGTCTTGTCGGTAAAGTGTCCTGTCGGTGAAGTGTCCTGTCGGTGAAGTGTCTTGTCGGTAAAGTGGGTGTCGGTAAAGTGTCCTGTCGGTAAAGTGGGTATCGGTAAAGTATCCCAGACCCATTATTTAACAAAACATCGCGACTATAAAAGTCAAAGTACATACAATAGAAAGATTTTCTATTATGAATTTTTTCTCTAATTAGCTCAGTTCAAACGAAGCAAGGAATTTGGAAAATACATGAATAACAACGGTTTACAATAGACATCATGGCAGTAATGCTATTTCATCGTACAGAGTCTATAAGATGGTGAACGTTTATTATTACGCTGCTGGTTGAGAGACACCTTACAAAATTATAGAGTTCAACGTGATATAAAATGGAAATATATTGAATGATAAGAAGTGGAAATAATAAAAAAATTAAAAGGTTTACGAATATAGTTTAATTATTGATTGAGAAACAAGTTTCAATAATATTGAGCGTAAATGTAACAATAAATTAGTTTTATAAAATAATTGTAAAAGAGAGCTGACGTTAACAATACAACAGCAGAAATAAATGAATAAGTTTTCGAATTGGTTGTCATGAAGACTTCCATCTAATGAATGCTATATATTAAACATCATAGTTTGTTTACAATGCATCTTTTTCAATGAGTGACTCGGGAAATCTTTGTTGTTGATAACTAGTGAAGAAATAAGAACTTGGCAAAGTTCAGAAAACAAAGAATTAGCCAAATTAATCGAAAAAACTTGATTAATTAAAGTGTAAATTATACACAAAGTACAACCAAATTAAAAATAAAGTTTATGGGAAATTTCTATTCAATGAATGAATCTAATTTCCATTAACCCTTTTGTGTAAAGAAAATCGAGTATTCAATAGCAATATATATATATATATTTTAGGAATAAATATTAGAAGTTTTTTATTGTATTAAAGCAAGCATCCCAATCAATTCAAGCATAAGCATAAAAGTTGTTCATAAAATCATGCACCTTTCACGTTAAAAAAATCAAATTATAAATATCCATTTCAATAACCCCACTATAAATATATATCTTATTTAAAAAAAACCATCTTTAACAAAATGCTTACCTTTGCCACCAAATTCTTTTTGAATTGTTATTTGGAATATTCTTTGGCTTTTTTACATTACAAAATTTATAAAAAATCAGCTCTAGGGGTTGGACCCGTTTAAAAAAACAAAAAAACCTTGCCTGGGTCACATGCAGTGTTGTGGCCAGAAACTCTTTTGACTTCCCAAAACGTTTCGGAAAATGAACTTATACTAAGCAGAAAACTAAACCTAAAACTAGACCTAAGCATAAACTACTAACATAAACTAGTTTCTGTTAGTTTCTGTTTCGGGTCTTCCCTAAACTCAGAGTTTCGGGTCACAATACTGGTCACATGTCAAATAGTAATAGGTTTGCGGGTCACCCGGGTGATAAACAGATCTGTCTGTATACACGAAAGATATTTATTAATATTCTTTTAAGGGTAGATTTCGATTATATAGTACATCATATAGCAAAAAAATCACAAGACCCCTTGAACAAATAAACCTTCTTGTAAAATTGCGAAACTTAAACAAAACTTTGTATATATAATCTCTAGGATTAAAGCTATTGAATAGTGTGCTGTTGATAACTTTCGTTAGTAAGTTTTACTGAAAGGTAATATGAAGTTCAACGTATGTTGCAAATTCTATAAGTAAAGTTATGAATTCTTGTCCTCTACTATACGGTTTTGTTAAATTAGGAAAAATTAAATGAACAGTCTTTAAATTAACCTTAATAACTATCGATTTATAAAAAAAAACTAGAGTTTTATAAGACAAAGTTGTACTAATAATGTTTTATTTTTATATTATATATATATAGAAATGAGACTACCTTGGCATGAATCATTACTAGCTTTTAACATCAATTACAAATCCTTTTCCCGAGCAAACAATTTAGTAAGAAACGTTTTTTTGGAACGGTTAGATATTCAAGTAATTATTCATGCAAGCTTCCATTATCTATATATATTTGCAATGTATTATTAATTTTTTAATTCACGCCTAGATTAATTTATGGTCGGAGGTCGAGAATGTCACCCACCAACTTGTTGACTCTCATTCATTAATTCATTAATTAACTTATTCATTCACCTAAGCTCAAGACCTTGGACATATCAAATATTTATGTGGCTTATGTGATTTGTAAGACATAAAAGTAAGAGAAGTATTACTTTATTATTGATTTGTCAATTGTATAGAAAAGCACTTATCTATTATTCCTGAAATAGTAAAATATAGATCATGGAAAAGTAATACATTAGTGAATTATTAATAAAAATATCATTAAACTTGGACAACTACAATTCTGGGGCATATAGTGCGCGCCATCCAAGACATCAAATACTGCTGATCCCAAAATAGCAATGATACACTAGTGTCACGGGTTATAAAATCACATGACTCCATCATTTTCGAGTATTCGAGTAAATTTTAAACGAATATAACGAATAATTCGAATGAATGAATAAAGCAAATATTTTTTTTCAGCCGTTACAATTGTTTATTCATTGATTATTAAATATTAAATACATAGTATGTTTTGTTACCTAATTTGTAAATAAACTATTTTCATACCATTTCTTTTTTTTTCTTGATGGTGTTTCAGAACTTCCATACCGCTGAATTTCATTTTTCACAGATAAAACTGGAAACCAAGAAATTTAGTAATTTCTTTTCTTGTATAGCCACCTTTGAAAAGACCAATAATTTATGATCTTTCAGATACAGCAATCTCGCGGTTCTTTACTATGTTTCAATCAACATAACAGAAACAGAACCAGATGTAAAAATCAAATTTTATTTTGCAAAAAAATTTTTGGGCTCAACCTTTTTTTGTCCACCTAGTGTATAATAAAAAATTACCTTTTATTTTCTTGATTTTTTAAACAAATTGCTGGATTTATTAAAATATGCTAATTCCGTATTAAATATATATTAGACATTAATAATGACAAAAGTTTTATTAAATATTATTAATTAATAAATTATAAAATTATAAAATTATACATTATACAAAATTGTTAAATTTTAATCTTTAATAATCTATAACCAATTACAACTCAACCATATTAAAAATTAACCTGTGGTATGATTATGAGCATCTTCGACTCCAATCTCATCATAGTCATCTTCCTCCGCATAATCATATTCAAATATTGGTTTCATATCATTAACAGATAAATTGTCGTGCGATAGTGATCTTAATTTATTATTACCATTAGCTTTTCTATTACCATTAATATTGTTATCATTATCAGTATTGTTATTATTATTGCCATTACTATTATCATTACTACTGCTATAATTTGTGGATGTCGTGTTACTTGAAGTTCTTGAGAGTGGCAAACTTGTAGACGATAAATTATTATCCGCTAAAATAATAACAACAATAACAACAACAATAATAATCATCAATAATCAACTAATGATGATCAATACTAGTAATCCATTCCATAATAATAAATAACCAGTAATCTATCTGTAATAATAATTTTAATATTTACATTGTACCGTTATAGAAAGTTTTGGAAGATCACTGTCAAAGTATTAATGATATTAAATTATTAATCCTAATTAAAGTTATTATTAATATATATATATATATATATATATATATCTTACTTGATTTTATTATCTTTATTTTCTTTGGATTCAAATAATGAAATTGCTCTTCTTCTTGTCTTTGTATTGCTTGATAATGATTGTGAGATCTTTAATATATATTATATTAGGGTTATTGTTACTGTTACTACTAATATTACACATATTAATAAAAATACAAACCTTTTGTCTTAACGTAGAAATTTCTAAATCTCCACTTTCTACTTGAGATTTAAGATTTGTTATTACATTTTTTAACGTGTCAATCTCATTTTGTAAAGCTTTTCTATTCGACCTATCCAAATTAAAACATAATAAACTTGGAAGTGCTTAATAGCAATAACAAATAGATTATTTGTTGTTTTAACTGTTAAAGACATTTATTAATCAAACAAATCTAATATTATCATCATTCAACAATATTAATACTTGTATAATGTTATATTAAGGATACGCATGTGTTGAAATATAGTATTTAAAAAATTATTCAACGATATGGTAAATGTGTCAAGCCATTGTCTAGTGAAAAATGTTTTAAAATTTGGATCTGACTCTGGATTTTTTGAGAATGGTAATCCTGTATGTGTGTATATAATTAAAGAAAAATATATATTAAACAATTTATTTATTTAATAATTATTTAGTTTTTTTTTTTTTCATCATTAGCAAAAAAATTTTATTGTTTAAAATTTTTTTACCAAACCATTTTGCCCATTCGTTATTTTCATTCAATTCAGCGCCAAGTATTTCAAAAAATTCCAACACTTTATCTTTTCTTTTTTGTTGTGTTGCTAAAATAAATAAACAAATAATAATAATATTTTTTAAAATATAAGTATATAAGTGTATCATGTATGTGTGTGTATATATATATATCTATATATTAAATTTACCATAAACAAGATAATATCTTAATAAACTTAATTCAAACTTCTTTACGCTTGCAAAAAATCTAGAGTCTAATCTAGAAAAATATCTTAAATTAAGATATTTCCAATTATCCATCAATCCATTTATATCACTACTTGTCACATATGTATATAATTCATCGACAATTTTCTCTGCCTGTAAAAAAAAATTTAATAATAATTCATAAATTATTCCATTCATTCAGTCTACAAGGGAAAAAAGAGTCTAACAAATCATTCTTTACCTCAAATCCTTTATCGTTTTTAATTTCCATCTCAAATGCTCTAATTGCATTTGTAAATCCTCTAAACTAAGCAAGTAAATTATTCATTAATATGCTCATACACACATATATATTACTATTTATTTTTCATAACTCTTCATTTAATAAATACTCACCATTAAATATTCTTTTACAAGCTCATCGATTTGATCGAGAGAATTCATTTTAAAACTTTCTCTTTTTTATTATTTTGAGTGTAAAAAAGGAAAGTTAGTTATTAACAGATTTGAATTATTTATTTATGTAATATGGAGATTATCATTTATTTTGGAAACTGATCTAACAAAAATTTAGGATTTTGATCAAACATTCGTTTGTATGACAAAACACAAACATTAAACATTGAATATTCAGGGATGACGGCAATAAACTTATGCATACAATTAATTAATTATTTGATTTTTTTTATGAGCTTCACTTTTTCAATGATTGTCAACAATGGCTCCACCCAATAGTATGATCACAAAAGTATCCCATTATCTGTTCTAAATACCTTTGGATGTTCTTTTTTTTTATATATATAAAAATGCGGCAATTTTGGTTAATTGTACATTTCATTCGACTATGCAGAATGCATAAAATCATCGTTCTTGTTGGGGATGCGCAAAACCTTATTAAATATGTATATTATACTACTACTCTATAGTAATAGTATGAATATTATCTATCAACTCTACAAAGACATCATGTAAAAAGAAAAAGCGTGTTAAATTTGTATTTTTTGATCTTTTGGCATGTACGGACAAATTTTTTTGTTAGAGTTGATATTTAGATAAGATATTATGTCTTGCTCGTTCAGGGAAAGAAAGAGAAACATTATATATTTATTTTTATATAGTTGATAAGTATCGAAATAAAAGAGAACAACGATGATTCAATTTTATCATTAGTAAAATTCTTACTGCGTCGAAACCTTAAAACCATTTTCGCAATAACAACAATAATTAATAATCAATGCAGCTCTTTTGAATTATTTAAATAGTTTCGGAAAAGAACTTACCTAAATTCTAAATTTAGGTTTCGACAAGATTTAGGGTTTTATTTTTCCCTAAACTAGTTTCGGGTCACAACATTAAATGATGATAACGCTACGATCAAAACGAAATTTTAAACTTGTCCTCTCACATGTGTGTGCATAAGATTTTATTTGATAAATTATTTCATATTGTTAAAAGTCTATACAAGTAAAATAAAATTTCAAACTTTAAGTTGTTCTTGCCAAGTTTTTCCTTTAATATAAACCAACACTAAAAGTGAAATACTGGCAAAACATATTCCGCTCAAGAGAGTAAACATCAACCCAGTTCCTAATTGTTTTTCCATTAGAGATGACGAAATTGATAAAGTGCCAGCTGCCGTCATGCGTACAAAATTGTTCAATGCTATGATTGATGCACTCTGACCTGTGAAAACATCAACCAGATAGGTTGACATCGAGTTATAAATTACTTGGGTACCGAATGATGCTATATATAATACATGTGTTATTAATAATTATAATATCTAATATAAATAATTAACATATATATAATATACACATAAGACATACCAAAAAACCAAGCAATCAATGGGCCAGCCATATGAACTTCTTTTTCAACCAACCAACCATAAATCAAATAAGAAGTTGGTACTAATACAGCACTAATCCAAGCACTATGAATTCTTGATTTTGGATGAGTAGTCCCATTTTTCTTTTTTGCTTGTTTCATCACATAATCTGAATATCTACCACCAATAAAACTGCCAATCATGAATCCAAAACCAGGCACAAAGAACAACAAACCGATTTGTGATGAGGTCAGATGATATCTGATGGTAAAGTTGACAGGTACACTGACAAATTGAAGTTGGATTATTGACGACACAATGCTAATGTAAATTATCATCAAAGTTCCGCCTGGATAACGTAACAATTTAAGCGGCGCGAGTGGATTAAATCGACGTTTTACTTCAGGCGTGGATTTTGAAGGATCGTGAGAAAAAAATGTTTCAGGAACAAAGATTTTCACAAGTAATAAATTTATTCCACCCAAAATTGTTAGAAACCAAAAAATCCATCTCCAGTTAGTATATTCAGTAAAGTAGCCTCCTATCATCGGGCCAAGTAATGGGCCAGTCCAATAAGCCATATAAAAAAATCCGTATGCAGTTCCGCGTTCTTTTTGATGTTTAAGATGAATGGATGGATGGAAATGATTATGTATAAATATATATGTATTTATATTTATTAAAAAATATATCAATAATAGTAATAATCATATTACCAGTAGAAATGTAAAGATCACTAATAACACCAGCTCCAATTGATAACATGGCAGAAGCTCCAAACGATTGTAAGCCACGACCTAGCAATAACAACCAGAGATTTGTTGAAATAGCACACAATATACTTGACAGAATAAATATGGGTATAGATGTGAAATATACATTTGTTCTCGAGGAAAATCTATCAGAGTATGCAGCCCATCCAAGTGGCTAATTAATTAACATTTATCAGTACAATAATGGTTATAGTATTCCAATTTAATAATAATAATGTTAATGATTTCTTACCGCAATTCCCATAATATACACGTAAACTGAAACTAATTTTTATTTGTGATTAGTTAAATTCGCAAGTATATATATTAAAAATTTCATGTAATTCAGATTTTCCTTTACCTAATGTGTTAACCTCTATATCAGATGCATTAAATTCTGTACGTAATTTTAATAATGTAGGGTACAATATACTTTTTTCGCAAAAAAATTTTAATAAACAAAGTTTGATTTAATAAAAAAAAATAATAATAATCTAATCAACCACATGTATAAATAAACGAATACTGACGAACTAGATATTGGAGAAGTCATTGCAGCAAAAGAAACTACTAAAAGTATAATACGTTTTCTCCATATTGACCAATTTTTAGGATCATTATTGATATCTTGATCATTTAATGTACTTGATAATGATTTGTTATCATCATTTATGTTAACAATATCGTCTTTACTACATTTGAGAGGTAATTTTTCATCGTGGATTTTTTTAGAACAAAACGATGAAAGTTTACACATTTTATTATTCGGCAAGTATATTTATTATATATATATAATATTACGAGAAGTATATTATATATATATAATATTGTGAGAGTGACGGAAGTTTAGGATGTAAGAAAAGGATTCAAAGAATGAAAGGATTTATGAGATTGATGAAAGTTTAGGATTTATGAGAGTAATGAAAGTTTAGGTGAAAATTCAAAGAATGAAAGGATTTACGATAGCAATGAAAGTTTATTAAAAGAATTAAAAAAAATGCATGCATTTATTGTTTCTTTTATTTGATAAAAAAAAATGTTATTGATGGCTTTAATTTGATCACAAAAATCAAATAATTGGTCAACAAATAAGCAAGCCCTCAATGATTGATTGTTTGTTTATTACTTTTTGGTGGCAAGGACCGTATTAATGGTAAAAATAAATCTTCAATTATCTGATTTTTATGATTATTTATGAAGGTAGATACATTCTTACGTTCGATATTTCTTTCATCTTTGGAAAAATCGTAAAATATTAAAATAAAAATCGAAATCAATTGGTACAATTACTTAATATTAGTGTTACACAAATTTCTCACATTAAATAAAGGATTGGTAGGAATTTTACATGTGGGAAAGGATTTATTAACATATGCAGAATGTCATCATTATGTATTTAAAAATATGTAACATATAAATTTTAAATAATTCTTAATTCTTAAATAATTTTCTTCGTTTAGAATTGGAAGTTTATAAGTCTTTACGATTTTTTCTTTTATTTTTTTTTTAGAATTCGGAAAATAAAATGACCTTGCGACTGGAAATATTAATTGAAGGACGTTAATATTAATATTTGTATTTATTTATTTTCATTTTTATTGATATAATTGTCAATTTTCATTGAAATATTTAACAATAATAAAAATAGTAAACAAAGGCTTTCATTATTATGTTTACTCATTCGGAGGGATTTTAATGATGTGCATATAATAATAAACAAACAAATACAGAAATAAACCCTTAATATTAAATGTTGTGTTACTTTCCTTCTTAATATTGGTAAGCAACAGAACTTAATTCATTGAAAACAAAAACTTGCATCTAAAAATGTCATTCAACAAATATATTTCCGCTAAATCAGCTTTGTCTAGAGATTCATAATAAACCAATTTTTCTGTCTAGCCTGATGCCAAAGGGTAAAGCATCCTATATAGTGCCGAAATTCCAAAACGACGAAAATGTCGAAAATAACGAAATTGACGAAACTGTCAAAACTATGATTTCAGCTAGGGTTTTTATTTGAAATATTTGTTTTATTAGTTATGAATTTGAGTATACGAATAATATTGAAAGTTTATTCGAACAAAACAAATAATTCACGAATAAAGCGAATAAATGAGTAATTTGAATAAAACGAATAAAACGAATAACCGAATAATAATAATAGTTCTAATCAATTTGTATTACAAATAATTCAAATAAGAATTTGTGGAAATTCTGGACTAAATAATTAGTAGACTATTTATTTGAATATTAATATTAATTGACCAAAAAAATATAGTCGATTATGCTAGATTTCCAACCTCTAGGATAAAACTTATTAAGTATTACTAGCAGTTATATCAAAAACTAACTATAGTTTCGGCATTTCGACATTTCAGAATGATTTGTTGGAACTATTTTGGCAGTTTCTCATACGCCATTCTGCCGAAAATTCATAGTTTCGGCAAGCAACTTTAGCTTATGCATGAGATAATAGTCTCTCCTTTTTGCCATAACCTTGACATTCGGTGACTCTCTTCTCAAATACGTAAGATAATACCTACTGCCAATGTATTCTTTGACCATATTCTCCTCACGAAATTCAGAAAAAAGTTCATAAATATATTTTACGGAATCTTTTTTAAATGGAGGTATGAAATGGTCGAGTACCTTTCTCCATATTCCACTGATATGTCGTGCGATATTAATGTGTCTATGCGACAAAAATTGTTTTTAAAAGTTCAATGCCTAATTATTGTGCACGCACAATCTTAGTCTTTGTGAGAAATACCTTGGTGAAAAAATACATGCTTCTGCTTGATTTTCTATTTGATTCATTCCTTAGATCTAGAGGAAAACCTGGAAGAAAAACGTTTAAAAAT